TATTACCTACTTTTTTACATCAGAATTCACCCTTCATATCAGAAGCCTGCCTGCTCAATGGAAAAAGGCATGATGCGGCGTGAAAATTTCAAGGCACCCCTGCAGAAGCCAGAAGGCACCCCGGGTTAAGAAAAGCTGACCTAGACCAATGATACTATCCTCCTAATGTACTGCAGGAGAATGAAGGTTGAAGCTGGGGCCCCTGGACATCCACCAGACCCTAGGCTTCGATTTAGAATACCTTGTAGATAATCAGGCTGTGACAGGAGATGACACCATTCTATGCAGTACTAGTTTCAGTTCAGATTTCTCACAAGATCTACAGTTTTACTGTTGAAAGAGTAACTTTACCCACCAATTTAATGTCTCCAAAACAATTACTTTTAAGGCATGCCAACTGTCAATGTTTACAAGGATTACACAGATGTTTGGAGGTATACAGGAGCAAGGAGATGGGTCTCAAAGACAATGGTTTTCTATGTATGTTACTGGTGCACTGCATTGATCCGATTGTAAAACGGAGGTCACCGCTGTATACGTGTGAATGGGCCCTCACTGTTTTAAAAAAGAAAAGAGTAATAATATGATGACGCGATGATGCACTTAGGTCTCATTCACACTGGCAATGAAAAATATGTGTTTATATGCATTTCTAACCGTATATAAATGAATATATTATGATTTTAATCGTATCATTCAAAGAAGGTGTTTACTTTAGGTGTGTTCAGTTTAGCTACGTTTAGAGAAAAAAGAAGTCTGTGCGTCCAAAAACTTTACGAGCCCATTCACACTAAACCATGCTGCGTTTGAATGGACAGGCTAGTTTGCTGTTGCGACTCTGGCAATGGGCCTTGTATTGCGCATTTCCGGAGCTGTCACTGTTTACATTTTGTTTTTAACTTTATGTGGAGTGTACAAATGTCTAGACCCCATTCAGGTCCACACGGTGCACTTGGCTGCCATACAGTGACCTGACGTGGCATTCAGTGCACTGCAATAAAATGTAGCATGTCAGCATTTTATAGCAGTACAGCTTCCTGCTCTTCACACCCATGTAATGGTATAAAAGGGACACATAGAAAACAATTGTTTTCTATTTGTCCTAGAGGCGACCTGCGTTGAACCCATGTAGTAAAATGCAGGTCATTGCAGGCGACCTGCGTTGAACCCGTGTAGTAAAATGCAGGTCACTGCAGTATGTGTGAATGGGCCTCAATGTGGATATATGCATATACAAGAATGTAAGTGGACATAAATACATGAAAACGAATGTAAACTCAGCTAAACCCGCAAAAAGGCGGTTATGCTGTAATAACTTTAGGCTTCCCACATAACTTTTTGCTGTGTGTAGATTCATATAGGAGCAGACTAGCGCAGCATTACACTATATCGCCTCAGTGAAAGCTGTGCGCTGGGACGCCAGGCTAGCTAAGCGCCCTCTAGCGGACTCGCAGGTCTCAACGGTCGGCTTAACTTGTTTGATTGACACCTTGAACCCCGCCTTCTCAGGCTCGCCCGCCCAGTCAGAAAGCTTCTAGTGGGCGGTGATTGAGGTGCATTGTGGGCGTGTCCGGTTATAGGCTGGGTTTGGAGTCTCGGTTGGCTACGGGTGAAGGCAGTTTCAGCCGTTGGATCTGTGAGTGGTGTGTGCACAGCTCTCCGGCTCCGTGTGCAGGACGTGGTATGTTTGCATTGTATCCCGGCTCCAAACAACGCCGTAGGCTTTTATTTACCGAGCGAAGCTTGTCCTATTACCGTAATCTGGGGCTGCTGACCCGCTTCTCAGGTTAAACACTTTACTTGGGAGAGATGTGTAGGCAGTCAGACTCCGGGCATCAGGCGACCAGCGGGCTACATATAAAATGGCAATAATTAGGATGTGAGCAACTGGGAACAGCTGACTTTTAGTCAAGGTTTTAATTAGAGAGACCTGGTCAAAATTCGTGACGCTAACGCACAATGATAAAGATCGTTATTTTTTTTTTTTTAAAGTGACATTTTCAGCCGAGTCCAATGAGATTTCAAGGTTACTGTCACATGGCCAAAATTAAAGACGCGTACCTTGGTTTAAGCTGAGCCCAAGGTGATGGAACTACGGTATGTGTGCAGGACTGACAGGCATGACTACCAGATGCATGTTGGGATGTGTAGTTAAAGTTTTCATGTTGTCATTCACACTTCAGGGTTGGTGGGGTTTTTGTTTTTTTTTATCCAATGGAAAGCTGGTTACTGGGGGAGATGCTTGTTCAGTGCTTAATACATGCATTGTTTGTGTTTTAAGACACTTCCATTGAGGCCACAAATGTGTGATCATGTCCCAAAGAAGCTCCTGTATGTTTTCTGAGCTTTGAGTGACAGAACATCACTTGCATGTGAGTGGGCATAGTAGAATAACTTGGAAGTGCTTCTGGAAACAGAATGGGGGCTAAAGTGAAGGGTGCCCGTTCTTAGGCAGTCATAGCATCTTATAGTGGAAGACTTTCCCTGTTCTGTTGCATGTTGTTTTTTTTTTTTCCCCCCCCTCACTTATAGTCGTGGTAAGAAAAGTTACTTTAGCCCCTAGAAAAGGTGGAGACACTAAAACCGATAAGAACCCATACATTTGGGAAAAGCCAGCACTCTGAAATGAGCCTTGGTTGTTTGAGGGCTCATCTCAACAAGATAAGTGCCGCAAATGTGTTTCTGATGTTTTGGGGCCCCACAGGACCACTTCCTCAAGGTAATAGACATCGGTCACCTTGAGTAGGGAGTCTTGTGAGGCCCCTGAAACATCAGTGAAGGAACATGTGTGTCACTTGTCTTGTTGAACCCTTAATAAAGTTCCAAAAACATGTTCCTCCACCATTGTTTTGGGGCCTCCCTGAACCCCTTTTCTCAAGGTGACAGATGTCTAAGTCTTTGTGTCTTGTGAGGCCCTGAAATGTCGGTGGAGGAACGAGCTATAATTTGGTGTCACCAGTAGCTGCGCACTCTCTATCGGTGGCATTCCTGGTCAGGTTCTGGATGGACTTGGCTATAGTTAACCATAAAAACCTGACTGGGTTTTAACCCTTCCCTGCTCTGCGCTAAATGCAGTTACTTTAAATGAGTTATTTTACTATCTTCTGGTGTGGTTGGATGGTAGACTTCTGGTTTGTGACATTGTTTCTCTCCTTCAGGTGTAGGTTATCGGGATGATCCCTGAAGAAAACTATGGCATGATGGATACATTTTGTAGCACACCGAGGACTGCAAGGAAACAGCAAGACAAGAGAAGTCATGAGAGGCCAGGCCTTCTTGCAGAGCCCACTACTCCGATCCAGAGCCAGCCATTTATGTCTCGTTACACTATAGCCCCAGGCCATGAGCTGGGCAGGTGAGGACCACTTATCTCTCTTTTTTGCATTGGCTTGATGAGAACTTTGCAATCCACATTGATAAATTCCATGTCTGTGTTCGCATGAGTGAGAAAGCTGGTTGTCTTAGGTGTGTGTTTACATTCAAAAGTTTTTCCCATACCTATGAAGGAATTCCGTTTGCTTTTTGTGTCCTTGGACTTGTGCATTGCTGTGGGATGGCTTTTCAGTTTTTTCTTCTTTTGATTGACACAGGTTTTTCAGCTCTGGGTGGCTTTGATTTGTCGTTTCAAAAACAAATGAGCTGATGTGTTGAGCTCTGCCAAGAACGGCAACTGTCATTGGGACTAATGCTGAACAAGCTGTTGAAATGGCATACGACATAATGATTATGACTGCTAGTGTGCTTGTTTTTCCTATTGTGTTAATGGCCATGGCTTTATAATTAGAATTCTTATTGAATATTGTGTGAACAAACCTGCAGATTCTCTCTGCTTATTGCTTGTAAATGTGTATAAATCCAATACCTTTCAAAGGCCACTTCACCCCCACCCATTTCATTTGTTTAATCCCCTCTTTAGTTTATATAGCACACTTATATGGGTCAATTTACATACTGCTCATTCACATCAGACACTGCTCTTACAACCGATGAGCCCCATCTCACATGCATATGCTAGGGCCAATTTACATAAGAGCCATTTACCTAGCAAGCATGTCTTTGAAGTCTGTGAGGAAACCAGAGTACATGGAGGAAACTCAGCAAACACAGGAGAAAACTCCATGCAGGCATTGTCCTGGTTAGGATTCCATTCAAAGAACCCAGTACTGCAAGACAGATATGCTAAACCCTTTTACCTAATGCTGGGTTGTTCTCTATTCACATACCCACCCATACGGCAAATCCAGTGTTATTTAGTATTCTGCTGCCACACACTGGGTCCCAGGTCGCCATCTTCTTAGCCAGCTCCCTCTTTTGGGTTCAGGCAGTCAGCCGCCAATAACTTGGTGCCAGGCCCACCATATTACTCTGTCCGCTGTATGGAAGTTGATGTGACATGCATATCCCAGGGGGCATCACGAGCAGAGCATGTCAAAATGGATGATTGGGTGCCGGGGGCAGGCTGGAACATTATTATTGCTGTTATTAACCAAAAAAAAGGGGGGTGAGAGGTTGAAGGGGAGGAAAGTTATCTTTCTGGGTGAAGGTGCGCTTTCAGCTGTTTTTTGATCTGGATCTCGAGATAAATATGGTTTAAAATTTTTTTTTTTTACGTGACTGAGTTCTGTAAAACTGGTGTTCCTCAAATCTTACCACTTGTTCTGTTTCCTGTGTGACTAATGCAGAAGTTTCTAATTTCTCTGAGAAACCAAATTGGTAATGAAGTGGTATATGTAATGCAAGATTCGTCTTGACTAATGTTCACTTTAGTTGTGTACAGGAAATGACCATATGTTCTGCTAGAAATCCTAGGGGTAAAATGACGATGTTCTTTGTTAGCCATTGTTTATCTGCAAAGATTTCACATCGTGTTGATGTGTAGTCATGATAGCCGTGCTATTTTGAATGTTCTGATCAGTTAACAGCATTAACTGGCTGCTAATCTTTTTTTAGTTAACTTTGTATGCACATGGTGTCACCTTTTTTTTTTTTTTTTTTTTTTTTTTT